CCTACTACAGAACGAACATCATTCCCCAGCCGTACTGTGAACACATAACCATGGTGAAGCTGGCCTGCACGGACCTCAGCATCAGTAGTTATTATGGCCTCTTTGTTGTATTCGCTGCGATGGGTCTGGATATGTTTCTTACTGCTGTGTCCTACACCCAGATCCTCAGGGCCATCTTCAGCCTCCCCACTAAGGACACCCGGCTCAAGACATTTGGAACCTGCAGCTCCCACCTCTTTTCCATCTTAACCTTTTACCTGACTTCTCTCTTCTCCGCCCTCATACATCGGTTTGGCCAGAGCGTGCCCCGCCATTCCCAGGTTCTCATTGCGAGTGTGTGCGCCCTCTTAGCCCCCATGCTAAACCCTGTCATCTACGGGGTGAGAACCAAACAGATGCAGGGCAAGCTGCTACAGCTCATTGGTCACAGACGAGTATAACGATTTGTCCTGCTGCTATGGCTGTCGGAACTAATTCCGTGCAGAGGTAGCTGGTGAGGTGGTGTTGGGCCCTCTTGAATCATAGACTGGACAAGCCAAGTGACATTAAATCCCTTCTGCACTTTACTGTGCTCTGGAAGCATGAGAAACTGGGAAATCCGTCTCTGCACAACCCATTGGTCGTTGCCTTTTTAACAGCCGGTATTTGACCCCCAGGAATCTAACCCTTGCCCACCTCTTCCACCGATACTCGTCTCCTTCCCCCAGCTCTTCCACCAAGACTCCACAGCTCCTCTGCCTCCTTCCCCCAAAACCCTGCTCTTTGCTCAGTCCTCCCTGCCCATCCCCTGTTACTGCCTGAGTAATATCCATGTCCCTCCACCCCCCTTCCACAGCCATTGCAGTGTTTTGGTAGAGTGGAATCTGTAATCATGATTCCAGGGGCTATTTAGGCTATTGAAAACTGCACTGTATTGGCAGACATAACTTAGGACTTAGCTGATTAGAGCACTTTGACTAATTCCTATTGAAAGGAGAGAAAATCAATAGTAAACCCATTTCATTCTACTAATAACCTGATCTGCCATCTCATGGGAATTCACTTAAGGGAAACTGGTTTGTTCTCACATAGCAGTGCATATTCTCAGTTTGTTAATAACTCTGTAGCGAGAGAGTGCCTGTCCAGACTCCAGGGTGTCTAGTAGACTATAATGGGGAACACATACTTCTGGGCTCTATGGAAAGACTTTCGAATGGCCATACTGGGTGTCACAGAGTGTGGGGGAGTCACCGGGCCCTGCGCCCCCATCCAGAACGGAAGGTTTATTTATTCACAGGGACAGCGAAGAACAGGATCATCATTAACATGGCACCAGGAGCAGTCCACCCCATCCCTCTTGGGGAGAAGGGACCTGTTCCCCACCTCTTCTTGCATCCCAGCCCAGAGAGAGAGAGGAAAGTCCCACGGCAACTAGTCCCCCGCTCTCCAGGCTGTTCTGCCCCCTCTTTTTTCCTGCTTCCTGGGCCCACGGTGCTATCTGACTATAGAATCATAGAATCATAGGACTGGAAGGGACCTCAAGAGGTCATCGAGTCCAGCCCCCCGCCCTCAAGGCAGGACCAAGCTCCGTCTACACCATCCCTGACAGATGTCTATCTAACCTGTTCTTAAATATCTCCAGAGAGGGAGATGCCACCACCTCCCTTGGCAATTTATTCCAATATTTGACCACCCTGACAGTTAGGAATTTTTTCCTAATGTCCAATCTAAACCTCCCCTGCTGCACTTTAAGCCCATTACTCCTTGTCCTGTCCTCAGAAACCAAGAGGAACAAATTTTCTCCTTCCTCCTTGTGACACCCTTTTAGATATTTGAAAATCGCTATCATGTCCCCCCTTAATCTTCTTTTTTCCACTATCACGGGTGGCATCTTCCCCCGAGGATCAGGTGACAGGCCAGCCTGGGCCATTCCCTATGTGCCGTCCCTCGGGGGTTCTCCCCCAAGGATCCCCTCCCCCGCTGGGCACAGCACACACACGGAGTCACGATAGGGAAGCAGAGGGCAGTAGGAATCACATAACAAGGGGAACAGAGCAAACACAACCCCACTACAGCCCGTCTCTCCCTGCTTCGAGACCGCACTGAGCAGGGCCACGCAGCCAGTGGCCTAGGGAAATTCAGACCCCCCGCTCCGGGATAAAGCATCAGCTATGACATTAGCACTCCCTTTAACATGGACCCTCCGGGAGGTAATCCTGCAGGAGAGGGCTTCATCTCAGGAGCTTTGTGTTGACTCGCTTCATCTGAAGTCATGTTGGGGGAGTGGTTGGTGTACACCGCACAATGCCACCCAAACAGATATGGCTGCAGTTTTTGAAGAGCCCACACCGTCGCCAGGCGTCCCTCTCTCCGGCCGCGTGGCTCTGCTCCCGGACAGCAGCTTCCTGCTCAGGTACATGATGGGGTGTCGCTCCCCCTTCTCATCCACCTGCATCAGCACCGCCCCCAGCCCTGTGCCTGAGATGTCAGTAAACACCAGGAAGGGTTTGTCACAGGGTACGTCTAAACTACATGGCTCCGTCGACAGAGCCATGTAGATTTGTTTGTTTGGCAAAGGGAAATGAAGCCGTGATTTAAATAATTGTGGCTTCATTTAAATTTAAATGGTTGCCCCGCTCTGCCGACCAGCTGTTTGTCGGCAGATCGGGGCAGTCTGGACGCTCCCCTGTCGACATGAAAGCCCTTTATTGACCACTCCGGTAAACATCATCCTACGAGGCATAACGGGGAGGTCGATAAAGGGCTTTCAGGTCAGCGCGAGAGCATCCAGACTAGCGCACTGAGCCAACAAACAGCTGGTCAGCTGTTTGTCGGCTCAGCGTGGCAGCCATATACATTTAAATGAAGCTGCAATTATTTAAATAGCGGCTTCATTTCCCTCTGCCGATCAGCCTAATCTACATGGCTCCATCGACGGAGCCATGTAGTTTAGACACGCCCACAGTGTGGGTGTACCAGCACTGGGGCTTTGACCAGGGCCTCCTTCAGTGTGCAGAGAGTCATCTGCTTTGCCTCAGCCCAGCCCACCGTGTCTGGCTTCCCCTTCTAACACAGCTCCGTAATCAGGGCTGCGATGGAGCTAACATGGGGCACAAATCTCCAGGGCTGTGTCTACACTGGGCCACTTATTCCAGAAAATCAGCCGCTTTTCCGGAATAAGCTTCGAGCTGTCTACACTGGCCCTTGAATTTCCGGAAAAGCAACGATGCTCTACTGTACAAAATCAGCCGCTATTCCAGAAAAATTATTTTGCTCCCGCTCGGGCATAAGTCCTTGTTCTGGAACACTGTTCCGGAAAAGGGCCAGTGTAGACAGCCCAGTAGTCTTTTCTGGAAAAAAGCCCCGATCGCGAAAATGGCGATCGGGGCTCTTTTCCGGAAAAGCGCGTCTACATTGGCCACAGGCACTTTTCCGGAAAAAGGGCTTTTCCGGAAAAGCAGCCTGCTAATGTAGACGCTCCTTTTCCGGAAAAACTGAAAACGGAATAGTATTCCGTTTTAAGCAGTTCCGGAAATTCATGCCAGTGTAGACACAGCCCAGCAGTGCCCCGCAATCCCTGCGCTTGCTTCCTGGCCAGGGGGAACCAGCCAGTCTCTGAGAGCCTCCATCTTGTCTGGGCTGGGCTTCAAGCAGCTGCTCCCCATCATATGGCCCAGGGGAGACACCTCTGCCATCCCCACCTTGCACTTCCCGGCCTTTACATTCACCCTGGCCCGCTGCAGCCAGCCCAGAACGAAGTCTTTGATCCTACCAGTTAAATGGAATGCAAAAAAACAATCATAGACTCAGTCATGTGGTTTGCCAAACGGAAAATATTGTGGTGATGCTTAGATGAGAAAATATATTTTGAACTAGTTCACATCACTGAGACTTTATTAAAACATACAATGGCACGGTGTGTAACTGAAGGGTGATTTCTACCACCCAGGCGAGAGCTCTCTGGGGCTTTGAATATCTCTGGGAGGTGTGCCATGTAAGGAGTAGAGGGGAATTTTATAAAGTTTTATACCTTTTCTTTTCTAAGCCCTTGCCCAATGCATCATTTCTACAAATATTTGGCTACTGTGCATTGTAATGACTCAGTGAAAAGTTAAAATTTAATTTTCTTTCAACATACAAAATGTATGTATAATCTAGTTGCAAAGAGAGAAATCAGTTAATTGTCTGGCTCATTCAATTGCACCAGGGCTGTAGTTAAGATTCTGCAGACGCTTGTCCTTCTACCATGATACTTCTTGGTCTCTAAGACAGGTCTTTGTTTACCAGGAGATTGGCACTGTCGTGACTGTGTCCCTTGGGGCGATTTAGTGTGTCTAGTAAAGACCGACTAAATCGACTGCTGATTGCTCTCTCTGGGTTTGTCTACACTACAAAGTTAATTCGAACTAACAGCCTTTAGTTCGAATTAACTTTAATAGGCGCTACACATACAAACCGCTAGTTCGAACTTAATTCGAACTAGCGGAGCGCTTAATTTGAACTCCTTTTCTAATTTAAACAAACCCAATTTTGTTTAAACAAACCCACTCTTTTCTAATTTAAACAAACCCAATTCTTTCTGCCTTCCTTCATCGGTCATGTTCTCTAGACCTTTAATCATTCTTGTTGCTCTTCTCTGGACCCTCTCCAATTTCTCCACATCTTTCTTGAAATGCGGTGCCCAGAACTGGACACAATACTCCAACAGAGGTCTAACCAGCGCAGAGTAGAGCGGAAGAATGACTTTTCATGTCTTGCTCACAACACACCTGTTAATGCAGCCCAGAATCATAGAATCATAGGACTGGAAGGGACCTCGAGAGGTCATCGAGTCCAGCCCCCTGCCCTCAAGGCAGGATCAAGCTCTGTCTACACCATCCCTGACAGATGTCTATCTAACCTGTTCTTAAATATCTCCAGAGAGGGAGATTCCACCACCTCCCTTGGCAATTTATTCCAATATTTGACCACCCTGACAGTTAGGAATTTTTTCCTAATGTCCAATCTAAATCTCCCTTGCTGCACTTTAAGCCCATTACTCCTTGTCCTGTCCTCAGAAACCAAGAGGAACCAAGAGAATCATGTTTGCTTTCTTTGCCACAGCATCACACTGCTGACTCATATTCAGCTTGTGGTCCACTATAACCCCTAGATCTCTTTCTGCCGTGCTCCTTCCTAGACAGTCGCTTCCCATTCTGTATGTATGACACTGATTGTTCCTTCCTAAGTGGAGCACTTTGCATTTGTCTTTTTTAACATTTGTCTTTATGAACATCGGTCGGGCAGGATGAAATTAAGTCATACATTACTACATCATTAAACCTAAAATATAAATATAAAACCCCACTCCTACACACCTACGCGGAAGTACGTGCATATACATATGGATGTGCACAGACACAAGTGCCCAGACCCAGATGCACATCCACACAGAGACAACTGTGAACACACACAAATGCACGTGCAAATACACAAAGAGATGCACTTGTAACAAACACTCATAGATGTTTATGCCCAGGTGTGTGACCTACAAGTACCCTGGATGCTTTTCTGTAAGATGCTTTCATCCAACACAAGTTAACGTGCTGCAAGCCAAGCGGGTTCGCTGGTGACCCTTGGAGGAAAAGACAAATTCTCCCTTTTTAATAACTCTTTCCTTCTTTTCCTGTGCAAGAAGCAGGCTCCCTGTGTGAAAATGGGGATTTATCTGCTTTATCCATCTTCAAAGGGCTTTAGTGTCCCAGTGGCTTGCTCTGCAATACACCAGGAAATGTTCCTTCCTTAGGCGCCTGGCAACTGTAGCACGGCTGTGGGTTGAGGCCATGGTACGATGCTGTATGACTGAATATGACTAGTTCTATCAGAGTTACTACCAGGGTTCTACAATAACAAGAAATTGCACACAAGGCATGTCCTGTCAGGTGTCAATGGAACGTTCTGATTGGCTAAGCTGATTCATATTCTAATATGTTTATATATTTATTACTTGAAGTACCTAAAAGGATGTTACGAGGTGGAGGGAGAAAAAAATGTCTTGGCTTCTGATGCTAGGACAAGAAGCAATGGGCTTAAACTGCAGCAAGGGAGTTTAGGTTGGCTATTAGGAAAAAGTTCCTAACTGTCAGGGTGGTGAAACTCTGAACTGAACTGCCTAGGCGGATTGTGGACTCTCCATCACTGGAGATATTTAAGAGCAGGTTGGACAGACACGGTGCTCGGTGCTGCCATGAGACCAGGGGACCGGACCCGGTGACCTCTCGAGGTCCCTTCCAGTTCTAGTGTTCTAGGATTCATGTATCATCTTTGTGGCTGTAGTTATGATAGTGATGGAGCCTTCACCCTAAAAGGGTGTCACAAGGAGGAAGGAGAAAATTTGTTCCTCTTGGTTTCTGAGGACAGGACAAGGAGTAATGGGCTTAAAGTGCAGCAGGGGAGGTTTAGATTGGACATTAGGAAAAAATTCCTAACTGTCAGGGTGGTCAAATATTGGAATAAATTGCCAAGGGAGGTGGTGGAATCTCCCTCTCTGGAGATATTTAAGAACAGGTTAGACAGACATCTGTCAGGGATGGTGTAGGTGGAGCTTGGTCCTGCCTTGAGGGCGGGGGGCTGGACTCGATGACCTCTCAAGGTCCCTTCCAGTCCTATCATTTTGATAGATGAGATACAATGAATTGTTTTCTGGGAAACAAATGTCATGATTGTACTAAGGATGTTAAAATGCAGTTAATTGACTAGTTGACTAGTCGATGGAATTTCTAGCCACTAGTTGATGGACACATCTTTTCAAAGGAGGAATGCAGAACTCCTCATACAGTCCGGGGCCAGTGGGAAGTCCCTCTGACTCCAGGCTGTACGCGGCGTGCTTGCTTTGAAATGTGCAGAACTCTCCAGAGGGGGCTCTTGTGCATTTCAAAGCCATAGAGTTCAAGGTCAGCAGGGGACCAGGATCAGCTGGGGAACCCAGGAGGCCATCAGCCATCTGGCCCCGTCAGCCCAGGGAAGGGCTCAGACAATTTCCCTCCATCACAGGGTCAAAATCACTGCTATGGTCAATGGAGGGGCAGCTGGAAAAGAGAACATAAGAACATAAGAACGACCGTACTGGGTCAGACCAAAGGTCCATCTAGCCCAGTATCCTGTCTACCGACAGTGGCCAGCACCAGGTGCCCCAGAGAGGGTGGACCGAAGACAATGATCAAGCGATTTGTCTCCTCCCATCCCTCTCCAGCCTCTGACAAACAGAGGCCAGGGAC